CCCCCCCCCCCCCAGGCCCCCCATTTCAACCCTATCTGAGGAGGAGACAGAGGCTGGCCTGCAGGACTTGGTCCTTGGGACAGCAAATTTCACGCTGCTTTGCTCTTTGGCTGACTTCCCAAGCAGGGGGGAAGCGTGCCCCTGTTCGGCGGGGAAAGGCCCCGAGGCTCATCGATGGCTCCAGTTCGCTCAGAACGGGCTGCAAGGGAGCGTTCAGGCCCAAATGTGCTTTCTGCAAAAGCTGCGAGCTCCCGACGGGGAGCAGGAAACCAGGGCCGTCGTCCTTTCTGCAAGCGCCGTTCTTGGGTCTGCCTTCGGAATTGCCTAAGTCAGCACTTTGGCACGTCACCGTACGAGTTTAAACTTTCTGTTTGCCTGCTCTCTCCCCTGCCGCTGTAAAAAGGTTGGGCAGGACCCTGAAAAAAATAGGCAAAATGGGGAAGAGTGTCAGAGGGGAAACTGAGGCAGCCGTGCAGTTGGGTAATTTTGAACTCTGGGTTCAATGTTCTGCCAGCGGGATGGGATGCTTCGACGGTAATGTCTGTTGCTTCACTCCCTTTGGCCTGTGGTGAATGTGCTCCTCTTGTGTTCGGCGGGGTTCTTGACCTCTGGCCCAAAGCCTACCTGAGGGAACGCGCCGCCCACCATTGAGAAAAACGCCTGTTCATCTCTTTCCTCGCTGCCGCTGGTTCTTTCTTCTGCTTTCAGAAGAGCAGGAAGACCATCTGCCCACATGCATTCTCACACCCGCAAACCCAGTTCAGCCTACGCAGATTTCAAGCCACGCTTAGCTGTAACAGGTGCACTGCTAAACGTTCCAGGCCCCGCTCAGACCAAAATCTGGCCGAGCAAAGATCGTTAGCTTTAAAAAGACAGCCAGCAAGCCTCGTGGCTGTGCGCGTGGTGTAAAACCGTCCTCCGCTTACGAGACGCATTCTCCCGCTTTTCTGTCTACTTAGAAGGCTGGGCTTAAGGAAACACGCACACTCACAGGAAAAGAAAAACAAAACTTCAGCAATGGTTAAAGGAACGGTAATTAAGAAAAACATGCTTTTTGCACGCTGTTGTGGTTTTTTTCCACATTTTAAAAATGGCGGTATAGCCCGATTATTGATTTGTTGTGTTATTTCAGCCAAATAATCCTATGCTTGTTGAGTCAGAAGTATGCACCGTTGACTTAGTGTGATATTATTGGTGGTTGCACAGCCAGCCAGATGTTTAGATTGGATTTGGCATTTTTATCCACCTATGGATATTATTATTATTATTATTATTATTATTATTATTATTATTATTGAGGCTTTACAGTACTTAGTTGCTGTTATTATTATAAATTAGATATATAGATATAGATATATTTCAAGAGCTGGTTGAGTCAGAAGTATGCACCGTTGACTTAGTGTGATATTGTTGGTGGTTGCACAGCCAGCCAGATGTGTAGATTGGATTTGGCATTTTTATCCACCTATGGATATTATTATTATTATTATTATTATTATTATTATTGAGGCTTTACAGTACTTAGTTGCTGTTATTATTATAAATTAGATATATAGATATAGATATATTTCAAGAGCTGGGAAGAGAGAAAGAGGCTGGCCCAAAGTTGTTCTCTGAGCTTTGTGGTTGAATGATTTTCCATTCCAGCATCTAATTTGCCATTCTAACCATTATGTATAGATGTTATTAAGAGAGAGAAAGGAACAAAATGTGCATGAGAACAAGCCAGAAGGCCCATTAACTAGTTTATGTCTTTACAGGGTTAATCACTGTTTGGAGTCAACTGAGTTTGCAGATCATATCTACATGGCATCCAAGCCCCCCCCACACTTTTATGTCCCCCCCAAGAACTAATCTTTGAGATCCATTTTCCAAAATAAATCCTTTTCCTGTTAGAAAAATTACCAATTTTAATTCAATAATAATTTCCCATTTAGTTTGTCAATCAATTCCCAGTCAATTCCTGTGTCCGTATCAGAGCATGCACCCACGTCAGCCGGTTCAGCTACCAAAAATATATATAACCTGATGTTTATATAAAGCATCAGCAAACACCCATTTCATTGCCAAACAGAATAAAAAGGTAGGCAAAAGAAGGGAGAGAGAAAGAGACTGAATAATGGGCAAGAACTGACATTATCTATCTCTATATCTCAAAAGGACACCAAATGTTCTAGAGCCACCAGGAAAAAAATTCTAATGTGGGTGATTAGCATATTAAACATGATTAGCAATAGTGTGGGTGATTAGCAGTTCCAGAGGTAGACGCCTTTGGTTATTTGTGCCTTAACCCTCTTATGTGCAGAACAGTAGCAGAACAGAGATGGAAAGGGGGACAACAGGTGATCCCTCCTCTCTTTTGCCCCATGAAGGAAACAGTTTGATAGACAGGGATGATGAAGCCAACATTTGCAACTCTTCTGCTGCACAAGCCTGCAGAGTACGTAAATAGGAATATTGCAAGTGGAGATGATGAGAAGCAACCAGGGTGGACAATGCTTAGGCCAACCCCATTCCTCCCCTATACCTCTCTCATCAGAGCCAGCCCAGATTTTGCTGCACAAATCCAGCTGAAAAATACTGGCATCATTTGGAAGAAGGGCTCCGGAAATAAATACGAAGCCAAGACTGACTCGAAGGCAGTAAACTCAAGTCAAGTCAAGTCAAGTCAAGTCAAGTCAAGTCAAGTCAACTCAACTCAACTCAACTCAACTCAACTCAACTCAACTCAACTCTAAACTAACTTGCTGTGAAGATTGGAGATGACCTTGAAGAAGATATCTGACAGTTGTTAGGCAAATTTAGTCTGGACAAGCAGGAAGGGATAAGAAAGAAATTCAAGATTACCCCACCTTGATTCTCTTTGGTATAAGACAGTGTTTCTCAACCTTGGCAGCTTGAAGATGTGTGGACTTCAACTCCCAGAATTCCCCAGCCAGCCATGCTGACTGGGAAATTCTGGGAGTTGAAGTCCATACATCTTCAAGTTGCCAAGGTTGAGAAACAGTGGTATAAGAGATTTGGTTATAACCTGTGGAAGAGTGAACTCACCACCTGGAGCGAGCAGGTGTTTTTCTCTCCTGGATCCAGAGTTTTGGTGCTACCTGGAAAGGAGGGTTGAAACAGCCCCACCCTTTCCTTAATGGGAGAATTAGCTTTATAAAAAGGGAACTGAAAGCCAGCATGGGTGTGGGTGTCAAGGGCGAGAGTCAAGTCCAGAAGACAGCAGAGACCCGGGAAAGAGAAACTCCAACCCAAAGGCAAACACGTAAGCAGTAGTCTTCAGACACCAAGAGCAAACTTCGATTCTGGGAGCTGCAAGACCGCTGTGGGGCAGAGCTGAGAGATGGGGCAGAAGAGAGCCCAGCCAGAGCCTGCAGTGCAAACCGAGCCCCCAGCGGGCAGCCACCCAGGTGCAAAGCGCCACCGACCAGCTCCAGAAACAGGAGTGGGAGTGCTGGGGGTGGAAGAAAAGCCCATTTGCAGGTTTATATGGGGAAAGGGCAGAAAAGGGGTTTTGCGTGCAAATGGCCTGAGGCTGGCTGCAGGAGCTGAAGACCTGGGGAAAAGGGAAGATTTACCGAGCTAAGGCGTAGCGAAGATAAGAAAAGACAGTGCCACAAACACAGGAATGAGAACAGAGGAATAGAACAGAGAGGTAGAAATGGATAGATTAAATACGAATAGAAACGGTTGCAAACTCCTTAGTAATAAGAGGATAGTAGAATACGAAAGGAGTTTAATTTTGGACAATAAAACAGTGTGGTGTGGGAGAAACAAATGCAGTCCTTGCGTCTGGGTTCTGTACCATGTTGAGAAAAACCTTCACATGGCCTATATCAGTGTTTCTTAACTTTGGCTGTTTTAAGAAGACTGGACTTCAACTCCCAGAATTCCCCAGCCAGCACACTGGCTGGGGAATTCTGGGAGTTGAAGTCTAGACATCTTAAAGTAGCCAAGG